AGATGTACAACATGATGCATTGCAGGCCACTATTTTCGTCGGCTTACAAACGTTAGATCCACGAACAAATCGATTACAAAGACCCCAAAATATAAGTAACGTTTCTGGGATATTGTCAGAAGAAACGGAAATAACCTTTTTGTCAACAACAGAACATGGAAGATCGAAGGGGGGTTGGAAAGGGATGGTGGTGAGTTGGGAATTGGGAGGGACATGAAAAGGAATAATATTCTATGCTGAACGTTCTGACATGGATAGTTACATATTGAGCTTATCGGTGTCGCAGACATTCGTCTTGGAGAAATGGTTAAAGCAGTGTCAATGTGATACCTCCTATCAAGAAATCCTTTCCCATAACTACATCCAAGATAAAGATCTGCAGTTCGGAGAACTTACTGCTAATGTTCGGAGAACCGCCATACTATAGAGGAATTCCCACAACTCATTGTGTTATAGCAAATATTTGTTCTGAACCATATCTTGTACAGTCTTGTCCTGGACTGATAGCAACATATGCACATATAATATGACTGTAGGTGTATTTGCCATTAATAGTTCCATTGAATAGCGTCTCGTGGCACTATACTGCTGCTGAAACAGTGAACATAATGACCTCGTCATCTTTGTCGACTCTGAAGTTTAAGTTAAAGAACCACAAATATTATGCTATACAACGTAAAACAATATACCAGCTATCACTGACATTATGAGAACTGAAATGTTTCAAATTCCTGTCCGACATTATAAAACTGACCTGCCGTCATTATGATAAATTATTTCATTTTTAAATTGATTTTAGTTTTTATCTGGTGCTGATGACTCATCTGTTGTATAATTTGAACGGGAGGGACTGAGTGCGGAATGACTGACTACGAAATGCCTAGGGATACCTTCACGCTTCTGGCTATGTTCATTGTCATCAATAGCACCGGAGTTGTTTCACTAATACTTACATCAAACCGAACTCAAGTTCCGTTAAGTAAAAATTATCAAGCATTACAAGCCATATATTCAAATTTGTGTGGAATTAAACAAAGAAAAATCAATATACCAACGAATTGTGGCTTTATTGTTATGAATATATTTCCTGCTTCACAGATGGAACAGACATCAATTGGTAATATATTTCAAACTAGCGTGTGATGGTTGGAGAAGACTTTCGTTCAAGCATGTCGCCACACGCTTAACACAGGTGTTCATTTCTAACCAGTGCGGCTTTTTCATTTCATCATATTGATTTAAAAAAACCATGTTGTAACCAATTCGTATGAAAATTAATAGTTGGTGGATACAGCAAATCGTGCTAAATCATGAAACGAAGGTGCAATCCGCATTTTGTTTATGAAACTGTGATCCCGAGTTGATAGCTATATTAGGACACGTGTATCATAAGGGTTGTAATCTGCTGAAATATGTCACACGGCGTTGTCCATTTCAGGAAATAGGTGTCCACATATTTCAAATGGACTCCAGTATTATGATGGTATTGAAACATTGTAAATTGGAATTTGTTGTCGTAGGGTTACAAAAGGTTATATAAAAGGTTAACAACTCACTTCGATGTGCTTAAAGCACATGGTAGTTGACATATCGTAACAACTGCTTTAAATACCAGTGCTTCGATTAGAGAGAGAGGGGGGGGGGGAGATAGGGAGAGATACGGGGAGAGAGAGAAAGAACCAGGGAGAGAGAGAAAGTATATATGAACAAAAGAAAGAAGAGGAGAGAAAATGGACGAATTAACTACATAATGATATGCGAAACGAATACGGATTTGTTTAGAGGATTACTCTCGTTAAACCAATCATTGACAACCGGGAATATTGGTTGTTGGTGAATTTGTACTGCAATGGGATAACAATTCAATCGTGAAACAGCTAACAAAAGAAAATATTACAGTATTTGTGTGCCAGAAATTAAGCCGGTTCTGTTTCACCATCACCGTGTGTATTCACAAGTCGTGCACTTGACTTGTAAACGTAGCACCATATCATCTACCTGAGGTTTTATTTCAGTACACTGATTTCAATGTACAGTCTAAATGCACTGCACGGGGATCGGCAAAAAACAACCTATTTTCTTGTATAATACAATGACGTTCTTCATTAAAAATCAATGTAAGGGATGTGGCACATTAATACAAGTGCCAGCAGCTACTATGTACTTGAATCAAATTACTGTACGCTATTGTATACAAAAGGCATTGTGTAAGGTATTTCAGTGTTCTTTATCTGATACAAATATTGACATAAACAGCATTAAAACACTCCATTTCAAACTATTAAACTTAAAACATGTATTCAAGTTATTGTCTTCAAATACCAAATTTGAATTCCATTTTAAGGTATTTTTGTGAATAGTATTGTTAAGCTATTAGTTTTCGATAGTTTCAAGATTATGTATGATGATGATGATAAACATGTTTAAGCAGGTAGAATATTGTTTATGACAAACAATAACAGTCCTAGCGGATATCATACCATTATGATACACATCGATAGTTATCAGAACGCGTACTTCAATAAGAGACACGCTCAACAAGAAGTGTCTTCGATGTGAATGCATTATATTCGAACGTTGCTCCACGCGAGTCTCGTTTAAAACAAGATGCAAGTCTGTTAGACTTGTATAGATTGTTTACACTTATTGACCCGCTCAAAAACAACAACACAAAATAAACACGGGATCCTTTGTATATTTCTTTGTCAAAGTGCCCTTTGTATGAGGTTGTCAATGCCGTTTGTCACATGTAATTTACCGTTAATTATATGTACATATCAGTTCAATAATTTACAAGACAAATAAGCACTTTAAAAATGTTATGATGAGACTGGCGGGTGATTAAGACAGACATATGATGTACCAAGAACGATGAGAAAACAAGAACGCATCATACATGAACTTTTCTACAAAACCAAGGACCAAAAATTCTCAGATAAATGTAAACACGGTATTTGTTATGCTCATGTGGAAATAATTAATATTGTAAATTCACAAGAAAATAATGCTGGTCGACATGTTTCATAGAAACTAGGATGATTTCAGTAGTCAATGGCATGTTTCTGTCTACAACATATATAGAAAATGTTATACATAACACTTGATGAAATCACTAGAAAGTAAATCCAAGTCATTTCATAACCAGTTAAAAAAACCTTCATTGTTGGTTTATGTGATAACTAAATAGAACTTCACACTGTAAGTGTTGACGATTGTTTATCCAAGAAACGAAATGAATGATTAAATATACCAGCATCTCGGGATAGTCAAGACTTGTTTTCTTATTATACAAATCAGGTCAAAGCATTGTTTACACGTAAAGGGTATTTCGTTTGTATAGAATCAATAGCAAAATATTTGACAGGCTTTAATCTATTGCAGTCTGTGATTCCATCTCAGAAATACCTTGATTTGTTCCCTTATACATAGTCATTAATCGGGGATTATAATGTAGGAATGTGATATTGTTCATGCCCATAAATATCTTTGGAAGCATCATATTCGTAAAATATAATATTCGTGGCAACAAAATGGCAAAAGGTTTAAACTGGGACCATACACGGTTAACTGATACCAATGCAAGTCGTTGGATATAGAGCAAATGATATCGCTGCCTTTTAAACTAAACATCAGTTTGTACAAATGTACTTTGTACTATCTATCAAAATAAATGTGCTATTTAGAACAGACATTGATATCGTCCCGTTCACAATTTCAACATAAACCTGTTGAAGTGTTCTTTATAATGTGCTTAAATATTTTAGAAATGTTTAGGGTGCGTTACATTAATTATCCTACATTGAGCCTCAGTGGCTATAAATCATGCAGGCTCCATATCATAAAATTGACACTTGTTCATATCAACCATCAAGTGTGCACTTTTGGGTAAATGTGATGTTCATTTCATACTGATATTGTATAGAGCAAAACACGTCACGCGAAGCCATCCACACCAAATTACTATGTACGAGTTAGTATGCCTGTTTAATTTCAATCTAAACAGATATGTTCTTGTATGTCACTGGGTGACAGACTTCATGTCAATTACACAACAATGAACAAGACAGCGACAGTATGATCGGATATAAATGTTGTCATCCCGCAGAAATCAACACGGTTTGATGTATGTTTCAAGCATGTTAATTACAGTGTTTGTCCCTTTTGAGAGGTTAACTGCCGAAGCACCTGTTCAAATGACGAGCTGTGGAATATTCGTTTCATACAACAAGCATTGCCTGTACGGATGATGATGAAACTAAGAATACATTATCATGATTATACCATATAATGACAAGGGTTTAACATTTTAGGTTGATCACACCGACAGGTTAATTATTTCGTAAAGCGGAAGCTGCTCCACTGTCTCCAAACAATCTCTTTACAAAAAGTTCGCTGCTTTGAAAAGTGGTTCATTATAATGATACCACATTACAATGTAAGCATCAATACTATGTACTTCAAATAATGCACTACAACACTTATATCAGTTATAACCTTTAAAATATTTTTCAATGCAAGATCATCAAAATATATTGGGCGTTTTGCAAATGAACTGTGTCTATTCTGGAAACTATACTGTATTGAAAACTTAGGATAAATAACGGAATGGTACATTGGGGAAGTAATTTTTAATATCACAGCTACAAAGTGGGGTATTTATTTCCACATGTGATATTTCAATTGTTTACTTCCAGGTGAAGTGTTTCACTTAGTTGATATAACAGTGCGTTTTACATTTATCTCTTCCAGATAGTGTTGGACATAATACATCGACGGGGAATCGATATCGCACGTACCGCTGACGAAACACTATACTGAATGATATTATCCCATTTGTTCCATCGTAATTAGTCTTCCCATTGTAGTGTATCCAACGAGATGGAAAGGTATTCTTTATTGGTGTATATGTCAGCAAAATGTGTAAATGTCTTGTCGATTTCATCCTCTGTTCTGCGGGAAATGTGCAGATATGTTGTCAATAGCGGATTAATATCACCTACCTGCCAGATTTTGTTATCACCATCTCCGTGCCGAGTTTGTGGAAGCTCTCCCACAATTCTTTGCTTTCTAGTTCTACTTTGGGGTCATCGTTGACCTCCATGTCGGGGGGTTCCATCCCACGGAGGGGTCTGAAGGGGTCGTGGTGTGGCATCATGTCCGAGGGGGTCATGGGACCACGCCCAAGCCCGTGCTGGAGCTTTGGAAGCAGGGAGGCTGCCAGCCCAGGGTGTTGTATCGTCATTGTTGGGAGGAACGGCGACTGTGAGAGGAGAGAGCCCATCGCGTAATCCATGGGTCTGTGAATTAGAAAGGGATTGTACGCCATGATTGAGCTCTTTGCTGTGTCCGGCAAAATCATGAGCGAGATACTAAACCTACGGCTAAGGCTACATGTAGTGGGTTATGTGATCGTCCCTTGCCTGTGGCCCATCGCCGGTATTACACATGCATTATGCTCGGCATTGTTCCGCGACGAAAGGGCGCCGCCGATTGGCCGCGTTATCTGCCTCTCAACCAATCATTTAACGAGCGGGGCGTGGTTTTGACAAGTACACATGTTACTCGGCTCACAAAGAGGTGTCGCTGCACTCTCCGCTCTCATGTCAAATTGTGCTGTAGGGTGACATGCCAACAGCGGCGGGAACCTTCCCACGGAATAAACGCAGTCAGAAATTTCTGTTTTACAAAATATTGACGCAGAAACTAAGTTTACCGATTCCTTTTGACATACAACGAATGATCCGTCATTTTGAATTCAATGTGGCGTGTATACTGAGAAAAATCGACCGACTTCGTCGGAAGTCAATTTCTCGTGTCAAGCCCCGCCCCCGAGTTTGAGTGACAGGTGGAGGTGTGAATATCGTGGTTAACTGTCAGATATCGATTTCAGTGTATGTGTAGATCTCCTGTCGCCCGCTAATGTTTGGATGTCTCCAGCATAACGCGAATGTACACACAACCCCTTGTTCAGTAGGGTTTCGCTCAACCCGTGGATTCCCTTTCAACCCCCGCCATCAATCGCCGACCGAGGCAGTCGGGCGAGAGAGGGTCCGCGACTCGGTGTAGCATGATTTGCTGTTTTCAAATTCCAGCCTAACTTAGCCTCGTAAGTACGGCTGGCGCCAAGGCTGTGACGTCACGCCCTCCGGCACGCTGTCCCGAAGTTGTTTCGTGGTGTTTATACCGGGCCCGAGTCGCCACAGCGCAAACACGCCGTTCGCCGACATTCTGTTTCCTATATCGTAGGCCAGTCGGCGTTGTTTTAAGGGGGCAATATGTCAGATCTGTGACATATTCATTGAAATATTATATTTATTTGTCCAGTTGTTGACGATAAGAAACTGGGTGGTCATTTAGTCATTTATCAGTCCAATTAGGCTCAAAGCAGGATGTGTATTACGGGAGATTAGTCTTCTGACATGCTAACCGGCGTCGTACTTTATCTAAACTGACATTCCCATCAACGAAATCGACATCCTAAACTGTCATTCGATACCGTAGTCTAACATGCAATACCTGCCTGTCGATTTCACCGACTATAGTCTTCTACATTCACGTTGATCGCCCCCAGATGACTTTATACAGAGCCTGGACAGATTCTCCGATAACTTTGTTTATTTACGAGCGCCAGCTCACAGGCCTATAATAACACTTGAGTGACATTTAACTGAGCGAAACCTACCAAAGACCAATCAGCTATACACACGGCTTGCTCGACAAGTTGCAGTGTAAGAGAAGAGTAATTAATAAGTACCCTCTAAGCGTTCAAGGTGCTAGCCCCATGGTCGCCAGCTAACACGGACCGCTGTAGGCCCAGGTCGAATCTGTCCGGCGCCGCCCGTCTAGGCCTGAATGCACAATTGTCAAGGCCGAAATATGTAGTGGGAATGTAGTGGGATTTAGTGGTATAACGCTCTTTGGCAACTCCGCTACACATGACATCATTTGGAGATAAGCCGGAATGAGGGAGGGATGAGATATAGAGAGATATTTCGGGGAGAGAGTATGTGTAGCAGAAAATGTATTTATGAGAAAATGAAAGTTTCATGACGTAATTTGTACGTGACTAGACAGAGAACGCCAGTTTGAGAGAGGATGTATACGAGAAAAAATGAGTGATGTGATGCATGCATGGGACTAACTGGTGTTGAGATTGTAAGAAGAAATACATGCATAAAGAAAAATTAGGTGAATGAAAATTGCAAGTTTGGGATAAAATATGGAGAGAATGAGAGAAGATGTATCCATGAGGTAACCCAATATGTGAAATGGGGGGGGGTGGTACAAAGAGGGGGAAAAAATTATGACCAGCAGACGAACGTTGGGTGCATAATGGTGTCTAAGAATGAAGCCTACGAGTGTGTAGAGGGTTTATATGCATAAGAAATGGGAATATATATGCATTTGACTGTGCAGAGGGAAATATATATTAGAGACTGTGTAGAATAGGATATATGCATGGGATTGTGTAGATGGGAAAGTATGCATCTGACTGAAGAGGGGAATATGTGTAGGAGAAAATATGCCTGCCAGTGTGTCGAGTAGAATATGTGTAGTGTGTGTAGAATGGAATATATGCACGAGGCAGAACATGATTCTGTCTATACAGCAAGTGGGTGGTTGAGAAATACAACAGTACTTGTAAGTTATTTGTTTCTATGATATGGACTATATGGATATATGGATAAGATATAACGATCGACATTGTGTTAAGGAGAAAACAGTTATTTACAAACCATCATGGAATTCGTTAAAAAAACCAGCATTATGTCTGTACAATACACTGAAACACGTGCTATCAAACAGATGGACAACATCTACTCATTATCCCATTTTTAGTTATTAACAACCCCCGACACGAGTCAAAATAACATCCCACGTGTCTGTCTTATCAGGAATGGTCGTCGAAGGACGCAAAGTGTACATTATCAGGGTTCTGTCAATTTCATATGATAATGAGCGTGACCTAATCATTTGTCAAATCATTTGATATCAGACATAGACGTGTCTATTTCGTTACTTCTGAACATGAGAGCAGGATTCTGATGTGGTTAACAGTTAATGGATTCTTACAGGAAACACATTTTTACATATACACAACATTCATGCTGCCATGAATATATTTGTTAGAGATTTTAATCATAATAATGATATAAGCACGATTGTGGACATTGCGTAAACAATACTGAATCAGAGTTTTGTTCCTTTTTGTTTAAATCGACTTGAAAAGTTGCACCACACATTAGAACTATTAATTAAGGCTAGTAGAGTTCGAATCTTCGTGCACTCATACCGCATTGGACCCAAAGACAGCAGTATTGGTTAGATTAAGGCAAATGCTTAGCATGCAATCAAATATTACTCATAAATCTCTGTAATATCATTTCTTTATTCTTAAGCATTCTGAAGTAGCTGTAAATATCTTTCTCCGAAATGAAATAATACAGTAATCATCGGACTATTCATAAACATTGGCTACTATCTTTGTTAAATTTTATTTCGTTTCAGACAAAATTATACGTTTGGGTTATACTAATTTTTATAGAGCCTGTGAACAAGAAGGCGTTCCCTTTGAAAAGCCAATTCAAACAATGCCAGTAAAAACTGGAATGCTAGAAATGGTCATGATGCGTTTGGGCGGGTGCGACCAGCTTTCTCAAGCACCCTTGAAACAAAAACAAAACACCGTCCCGCACTAAAACGCACGACAATACACACTGAAAACGACTGCCTCTCCCCTCGAGAAGCCCAAACTCTGATCGTGGGGTCGTACAATCCGAGGGTCTCGCGACCACTTAACTGCAGTACTTGCTACTTACAGACAAGTTCGATGGGGGAGAATTTATTATTACTGACAATGTCACTGGCTAGGACCACTTTCACCCATTCCACCATAAATTACTTTGGCGTCAGGGTTTCTCAATGGGGAGGCAGCTCCACCAGGGTCTCACGAAAGTAAATAGCCCCCGTTTCGCTGTCGATTGTCGATGTAAGAAGTGGGATAAGGGCGATAGTGATCGCTAATGAGACGAGTAGGATCCGATGTTACGGGTACGGATATGTTGTTACGGATGTGGATCTGTTGTTGCGAATACAGGTCTCACGGGTAAATATACAGGCTATACATTGTCTTTTTGACTGCATTCTTTCAGCGTTTTGTTTTTATTCATAATATCACAGTAAACTAACATACGTATGAAACATTAAACACTTGTTTTACATCGCAATATTTATTTGTAAAACCGACTTTTGCATGAATATTTTCACAGATAATGATTATGAGTGGATCCGCTATGAATAAAGTCAAATCATTTGCGGAAATAACATTTTCCCGATTACTCAACAGAATGTACTCTCAACAACAAACGTTTAAGATATAGAAAAACAGTAATGATAATCCTCGATTTTTAAAAATGTCCATTACACAAAAAACAGAACAGTAACATCACAGCTTCACGCAGATTGAAGACACACTATAAAACAGAACACAATTCACGTGCACTTTTAAAAATCTACACTTAATCGACCTATGACAAAAAAAAAACAGATCATAATAGATTGTCCAGATAAACACATGCGTTGATTGGTAGACATTGTGGCTCTCATACTTATCAGCATGACTCGATGAAATTCACACTTTTACGGAGAGAAAGCGATTTTTGTTCGTGTCAAATGGTGATATGCACACGGCGCTGAAGGCAGAGAGGGCACAGACACATAGGCACCGATTCGGCATAAGACCTAAATTTCCGCCGCGTTACTAATTTACTTATCTTCAGACTTATTAACGATTATACGGATTATTGAGTACGTACAAGAGCCTGTGATAAACACTCGAGCGCCGCCCTTGTTTGACATCTTGCAAGCAAAATGCATGAATAACAGCGGGCAGAGAGCGTCGCCCTGTCGCACACCTATCGCTAATGATGTGGATGATTAACTCGTTTTAGGAGCTTACGGTGAACTCGTTTGATTTGAATCGATAATCCGCACACCTCGCCTATGTAATGGTTGGTGTGAACTACCGAAGGGATTACGTACTTTGAATATAGCACACTTTGGCAGAAAATTATGATTATTGTTGGTCTGATCATCGTCGCCAGTAGAACAATGATAATACGCCAGTGTTACGCTACGTAAAACAGTAACCGAATTAATCGTAGTGCTATGTACAATGAATAGCGATACTCTAAAAGAGTACCGCTTTCAAAGATGACCTCAAAGTGATAATTGTAAAAATAACTGCAATTAAAACAGAATGATCCATGGTTTGTTGATGTTTTGAAGTGAAAGTTCAAACCCGTAGGACTGTGGAAACATATTCCATTTTTCAACAATATATCGAAAGAATTGAAGAAGGAGAAGTCACTTGAATTAGTGAGTGAGAGTGAGTTTTACGCCGCTTGTGAGCAATGTTCCAGCAAATATCACGGCGGGGGACATCAGAAATGGGCTTCACACATTGTACCCACCCTAACTGCTGGAGTACTACACATGAAGACATCTATCTAAACAAGCAAACTGAGTTTTAATGACGTATATCAACCTGGGTCATCTGCCAACTGGTCCGAGTCCATTTCGTCTTTAAGTGTTACATTCAATAGGACATTTTCCATCTATATGTTTCAACACCTCATTGACAAGTATTTAAGATCGGATCTTGTTTTATTCATTCAGAACATGCACAAAGGGCATAACTGATAATTTCGTTTCGCTCGGATCATTCCAAGAATCGCCGGTTGTTACATTAAGCGCTTAGATGATATTCTACACACAGACAACGTTCCGGGGACATGATACATTGGGATGATAATCTAATATCAAACCCATTTCAACAAGTATGATCCCAGTACAAATACATTCTACACGGGGGTTATCGCTATACATCAAAATATCGCATCTGTTGAGGCTGTGGGAGAAG